AAGGAATGGTCCTTACTTTAACCTTTTAATTATGAGTAATGATAAAATGTCAAAACCATTTAATAATGAGCAGTGTAAAATGTCAAAACTTTTAAAGAAATTAGTACATCTATTCACAATGAACTTTTAAATTTTATTATAAAGATTAATAAAATTATACATATTTTTAAAAATTAAAAAAATTTAAAAATAAATTAAATTTGAAACAATTATCTCTTAATTATGCTTATAAAATTAAGATATTCTACTATCAGTATATAAAAAATACATTTTTTGAAATATATAAATTTTCATGTATACGTCTAGGCTTAACTCATTAATAAGAAAGCCTACTGAAATCTGCAAAACTATAATTGCCATTTAATATCACGTTTAGAATTCAAGAAATCAAAGATCACTCGATGAAAACATTGAAATTAAGTTTGAAAACCGAAGTAGATGTTCGATACGCAAGACTTTTATATGTGCACACGTTGTATGCTGAATTTAACAAGTTTAGTCGAATGGTTTGCGTTGGCCCATACATCATGCAGCCACATATGCACGCACGTAAGACTATCAACAGTCAATTATATGATCAAGAATTTCATGGTTTTCAGTCCGTGATGTGAATCAAGAATTTTCTATGTTGGAACATGTGCAAAGGTCAGGTAAAACAACTAATTGCCCATTTGTTAACAATTGTGTAATGTGCTGGTAAACTGCTACATAAACTTTTAATATTAATAATTTGTTGGAGATATTTAGTGATTAAAAAAGCATTATAATATTTTTTTTTTATTAAAGATTGTCAACAGAGATTTTTTGAACATGTTAAATTGACACATATTCAATATCACATCAACTGAATTACGTCATTATTATCTCTCACAGATCTTTTATCTCTTATTTATAAATATGGATATCTATATAATATCCTTCTTGATTTTACTTTATTCTAATTTTTTATTTTTTTCTCGTTCCAACCCTTCTTATTATCATTTAGGTATTATCATGTTTGTGCGTTGGAATGCAAACATAAAAAATATTTCATGTATTCGCTTTTAATTGCTTTTTTTTTTTTTTTATCTTTTCAAAAATATCTTAAAATCTAAATTTGGCACAAACAGAATTAAAATTTAAATTTTAACAATATCCAATAAAAAAATTACCCATTTTTATGAAATGGACGAACCTAGACAAATTAATCGAAAAACATGGATTACGTGATCCTTTGTTTCTGCCCACTTTTCATCAAATTGAGTCACATCTCTTCCATTACATCTGATCGACCAAATTTGACAAAAAGCCACCGTACTTACGTACATTGTTCTTTGACAAGGCACAATTATTTCCAAGTACAAGATTTACCTTATGAGGAACGTTACGGCAACCATCTTCATATTCGTTTTTCAACTCTTGCACATTTATTAGTCCACATCGTCACATTTTTCACACTTAAAATTGTTTACCTGATATTCTAATTACATGAGATGAGTTTATTTTCGAGTGAAATCTGAAAAGCTTGAAAGATTAATAAATTTTAAGCTTTTTCTTTTTAAATGCTGGAAGGTTATTAGATTAATTTTATATTAAACAAATGAATAAATTCCAAAAGAAGGCGTGACCATAAAAAAATAAATTTGCAAAAACTGGTAAAGAGACATAGTGAAAAAACTGCAATGCATATATGCAATATATATATATATATATATTACAAGAATTTTTGCTTGCTATTTGTCAAAAAAATGAGAAATCAAAGATTTTTGGAAGAGTTTAGAGATTTTAACACAAGCAAATTAGAATCCAAAAAACATTGATCAAATGGAGCAATTAAAATCCAGGACTTTGGCATTTTGAGAAAGAAAGAAGAGTAAATCCAAAATAATTCCAAAAATGAAAGAAGAAGCAGTTAGGGTCATTGAAAGCTTGGGTGCCAGTGCCGCATAGAATTGAGCTTCCTTCCGATATCAGTAAATGTTTTCTAATTCAAGGTGATAGGCCTTTTGTTTGTCCATATCAACAATTTAATGGGGAAGAAAGATTCTATTCTTGAACCTTATCTCCTTTAGAAAGACATTTTATAACAACTGATGATTAGTTCAATTTGATATATTAAATGGTTACACCATTAGCCAGCAATATGCTAATAGTTAGAAATCATTACTTTATATGGCCAATGGAAAGCATTTACTTCTTTATGCTTACATTACAATTTCAATGACAATTTGTATTCTAATTTTTAGTCTTAGGGTATGTTTGGTATGGTTAGAACTTTTATAAGAAATGTTATTTGAGTTGAATTATTTTAGAAGTGTTATAAAAAAGTTAAAATGATGTTTGAGAAACTTAATATAGAAGTATGGTAGAATTTTTAAAAACTATTTACTAATTTTTTGGTATTTTTTTAACAAATAAAAAGTAAAATAATCAACAAATTATATAACAAATTTTTATACGAAAGAAATAAATAAAATAAAAATTTTTTATTGAATGAAATAAAAAACAAATAAAATCAATAAAAAATAAATATAAAATAATATAATCTTTCTTATAAATTATTGAAGAGTAAATGTAAAGTGAGAATATAAAAAGTTATCAGATACTTGTTATTAAAATTAATATTTTTTAAAAAAATTTTAATTTATAGTTTCGTCTAAATTGTCAAATCTACTTTTTTACATAAGCTAAAAATCTTAAACATTGAGAGGCAAACACATTACTTCTATTTTTGCTATGTATAAACCCTTCCATATACTGGGCAAATCACCCATTAACAATTAGACCTGTCCAAAGGTCACCCTATTCGTCTAAATATAAAAGCCAACTTGACATATGAGAGAGTTTAAACAAATATATAAAGCCCAAAAAAATTGGGTTAGGTAAAAAATGAGACCTATTTAAGAACAAGTCGAGGTTTGTCTCCAACATTAAAGGCTCAAACTTAACTTGACGGGGTCCATTTTTAATTATATAATATATTTTATATTCATATAAATCATATAATTAATTTATATCATATAAAAGGATAAATATATATTTCATTACATTGTATAAAAATTATGCTAAGTTATCCTCTTTTTAAACTTAATAAAAAAAATACAATTACTAATTGTTAAATAAAAATAACATATTTCTATTTTTTAAAAAAATTAGTAATTTAAAAGAATTTGTGTTGTGTCATTTAAAAATTTAGATGGATCTGATAGAATTTGAAACTTGAATTACCAACTCAGATTGAATTTAGATAAATATGAATAATATTAATACCATCTGAAGACTTGATTCAAACACGACCCATAAATGACTTCAATAATAATGCCCATGTAAAAATTCATAGTTCTTTGATATTATCCCAATTCTTATATCTAGTTAGTGGCATTAAGCCCCGTTAATAGTATTAATGTTCTTTAATTAATTTTTTCGCCTTTGGTGGTACAAATTGCAAATTAATGGTGCCCATCCATATTAATGGAATCTTACAATCCCTTTGTTCCATTTCTTTGTACTATCTTTTTGTCTTGAATTTCAAAATTATGTCTTTTCTTTTTTGAAAACATAATTATTCTTTTTTTTTTTTTCATATTCTAACATAATTTTTTTCACAATTCTTTTTTTCCTTGTACATTTTGAAATTAAAAACCTTGAAATATCAATTTCTAAAAATATTAATTTTTTTTTTTAATTTCATAAAAGTGAAATGTATGTAGACGACGAAAATGACCAAGTTCTACAACATTCAAAATATTCTTTTACTTTATGTATTGGTCATTATATTTAACAGTCTAAACATGCATATGATATTAACTATTTATATATAATTAAAAAAATTCATTATAACCTAATAAAATTACCATTTAGTGGTTTTTACTGTAATTTTATAATTAAGAAAAAGAAAATTTTGATAAAGTCTAACAGTTAGTCATGGCTCACCATTTTAGTATTCATTGTATTTCTTTTTTCGGCTAAAGAATTCATTCTTTTTCGCCAATCTCGATCGCCTAGAAGGAGCACAATTTTTTTTTTTTGGTTTCCTTAGTCCTAGTAAACATTTTTTTCTTTTTCTTTGTTGCTATTTGTCTTGGTTTTCTATTCAGATTTTAGTTTTTATTTTTTCCATTCATTTTCTATAAAAAAGTGTATTTAAAAAAAAACCAAAAAAGTAAAAAGTTTCCCTAATGAAACTTAAGTAATTATTAAATTGATAAGATAAATTTAGATTATTTTAAAACCTTTGATGAATTTGACTTTTAAAATTTATCCAAAAATCAATGATATATAATAGGAGTTAATTAAATTACAATTAAACTGGGCATTCCTATAACTATTAAAAGCGAAACAGGGAGATCAGCTCTACTATGTATGTTAATATCTGTTAATTTTTATAGCCTACGCATTAGTTCTTTTTTTTTTTTTTCAAATTTTATGTACTAAAATTTATACTAAAATTTAATAATCAATTCAAATAACAATCACGTTTTCTAATAATCATAAAAAATTCTTTTACGGTACCAAAAAAATTCATATAACATAATTTGTTTACGAAATCGTCCATTGAATTGAAAATCAATATCCTCGATGAACTAAGTATTAAAAAGGAAGATTGGAATTCTAAGTTTATTTTAATTAGTTCATATAATTATTTTTACATGTAATATTTAATAAATTTAAAATTTAAATTTAAATATCTGAAATCTATTTTTTTATTTTCATATTACTATCTCTTGGTAAAAAAAAAAAAAAGAAAAAAAGATTGACTTATATGAGTGATCAACGGTGATTACGTAATGATCCAAATGAATAAACCAATTGTCTTCAAGTTAGTCCAAGAAATCTGTTGGTTTGAATTATTTGATCAAGTCATCAATTATTTTTTTTGTTTTCTTGTTTCTGTTTCTTTCCATTGGTTCCGTAACGCGTTCTCAAAGTCAAAGTCAAAGTCATCCACTTGTCCCTTCTACGCTTCTTTCCTCGGCAATCGCTTTTCTTTTCCATTTTTAAATAATGAAAGAAAAGAAATAAACATTGAAAATTAGGATTGTCAGTTTCATTAAAAACCCTTTCATTGAAAGCTGCGTTCACATTTTTCCTTCTCTCTCTGTTCGAACATTACTTGAAGTATTTATATTTGCTTCTTTCTTTTCAAAAATGTTCATAGGGAAACTACTCCATTCTATCAGATCAAACTGATCCAGCATATTCATTAATTCAATCTGGGTCACTTTTTTTTTTTGCAATTGAAGTAATTTTTTGCTGATTTTCATCAAAGGGTAGTGAAATTTGAAGTTGGAAAAGCAAAAAATGGCTGGAGAAAGTGAAGGAAGGTCTTTAGAGGAAACACCGACATGGGCTGTTGCTGTTGTTTGTTTTGTTTTGGTTTTGATTTCAATATTCATTGAACATATAATCCATATGATAGGAAAGGTATAATCTTTAGTTTTTGTTTTTTAATCTGATTTTCATATCTTTTAATTAAAGTTTAAACTCCAAAATTAATCATTACTTTGCACCTTTTTGCAGTGGTTGAAGAAGAAACATAAACGAGCACTTTATGAAGCACTGGAAAAGATTAAATCAGGTAAACTTTAACCCAACAGCTTTCAAATTATCATTCATTTTTAGACTTTAATCAGTCAACTTTAAACTTTAACATAAAAGCTAATTGTTTTAATGGTTTTTTTGTTTTTTTTGGTGGTAGAGCTTATGTTGATGGGATTCATATCCTTGCTCCTAACAGTATCACAAAGTTTAATATCAGATATATGCATATCAGAGGAAGTTGCAGCTACTTGGCATCCATGCAATAAGAAACAAGAAGAGACAACCGTTGAAGCTGAAGATGCGACAGATGACGAGCATCGCCGGAGACTTTTGATGATATCGGATACCGGTGAAATTTTCCGGCGTTCGTTGGCGGGAGGCTCAGATGACAAATGTGCAGCTCAGGTATGAAAATATGACAGACAAATTATATTGATGCACGTGCATGTATATATACCACCTTTTATCTTTATTCTCTTACGTCCCAAATATGAGAACCGCCCATTTTGGCACCAGCTTAGACAAATTGACCAATTTACCAAATTAAAAAAAAAAAATCAGATAGGAATTTGGAAAAAGTCTATGTCATATCACATGATTTGATAATTTGTTTCTTAGTGCATAAAATGGGGACAATTTGCGGCAATTATGCTAAAAATAATCAATTATATTTCATGTTGAAGATTCCCATTTTTGTTATCTTTTCAAAACAATTTTGTTGATTTTCCTATTGTCTCTAAGAATTATCAAAGTTGGTGTACTATTATAGTATGTGGGAAGCTTCTCGCTATTGCTAGAAATATATATGGTAGTATTATTATATTTGTGAATTTGAAATTCATATTTAAGGTATAGAAATCATTTACTATAAAATAAAACATACAAATTGACCTTCATTATTATATATATTGAAAAAATCTCTAAATAAATATAGTATTGATAATTTATATTTAATAAAACAAAAACACATCATGCATTGCAACAATATTTTCAGATTGCAAAATAGTTTTTACAAAAATAAATTAATTAACGTTTTAAAACGAACTTAAGCATAGTTAAAATCTCATTTTTTAGTAGTGTAATATTATTTTTTTAAACTATCTAATAATATTAATCTTGATTATTATTATAATAAATTCTAAAGAAAATGGTTATTATAAGTCTGCATGGTTGCTAGCTAATGTGAATGCACTAAAATCATTAGTACGTGCATTAGTTTCATGATTAAGGCCGGTGGAAATTGTCAGAGTGATTGGGTTACTTTTTTGAACAGAGTGGTTGGATAAATTAATTAATTTGCGAATACTAAATATATATATATATATATATATGCAGGGTAAAGTACCATTTGTTTCCTCGGATGGAATCCACCAACTCCACATTTTCATCTTCGTGCTAGCTGTTTGTCATGTCATTTACTGTGTTCTTACATTGGCATTGGGCAGAGCTAAGGTATTCTCCAAATACTTCTCCTACTATACATATATATATATATATTAATATATATATATATATAATGAGATTCGAATTCAATTCCTTGAACCGAAAAATACATAATATCTGCTACACTAAGTTAAATGCTCGAAAACACGTTCGTTTTTTTTATAGTAATATATATATTTTTTGTTGGTTGTAGATGAGAAGTTGGAAGAGGTGGGAAAAGGAAACTGGAACAATTGAATACCAGTTCACACACGGTTAGTACAAATTATAACCAATGTATGTATACATGTACTTTTATTTAAAATTTGGTCCCTGCATGATTGCACTTTAATGTATACTTTGATTTGAAAACAATTTAATTGATAGTAGCCTTAATTTTTCAAGATCAAGTTCATTATTATGAGTTAAAAAAATATTGAACTCTTAATTTAAGTGATTAGGGTTTAAATTATGATAATCTCAAATATATAAAAAAATTGAAAAATTAATTAATTGAATTTATTATTCATTTTCAAGAGGGTGATTAAGTTTCAAATAAGCTAAATAATCAAATGTCAATAATTTGAAATGACTTGTTATTTTATAAAAATTTTAGATAAATTATTTGCTTGTGAATTGTTTTTTTTTTTCAAGCTTCGATTGGTTTAGTGTTAGTGATGGTGGTTTTTTAAAGCAGATCCGGAGAGATTCAGATTTGCAAGGGAAACATCCTTTGGAAGAAGGCATTTGAGCTCTTGGACCAAATCCCGTGTTCTAATGTGGATTGTAAGACTTTTTCTACCCTCTCTTTTTACTTTATTCTTTTGGTAAAATAATTCTCATTTGCCAATGCCAGCTAAAACTATACTATTATTCTAAAATAGAAAGTTTCCTAGCACGATCTTTTTTTTTTTTTCCCCTTGATATTTATGAAGACTTTTTGGGAACACAAAGGTAAATTTTTCTCATTTCACCTTGAAAGCCTTAATGGTGAAGGTCTCATTCATTTCACCTTGCAATAACGGTCGCCACCTGCCCTTTTAGACCAAGGACCGCACAGCCACCCAATTATGGCCAACACAATTTGCACCGCTTTGACTTTTATTTATTTCACAGTGATAGCTTAATAAATTACTTCTTTTTTTTTTTTTTTCACTTTGATTTTCCGTCACCTTTTCTCACTATATAATTCTTTAACTGTTATTCGTCATGCAATTAAATATATGTTTATTATAAAGAATATTATAATTTAACTTTAACTTTTATACTCAATCAAACTAGTTAACCCTAAACCCACTTAATCTAAGCTACCAAATAATATAATACTACAACTTAATTATGTAACTCTATAATTTTACAATTATTACAATTATTTACTGTTTCAAAATAGTTACCAATTAATTAATTAATATTTGTTATTGTATATTAATTTGAACAGATGAAATATATATGGGATTTACTATATTTGTTTGAGATGCATGATTATGTTTTTTTTTTTTTTTAATTTTAAAAGAAGTTCATAATTGACTACATAAATCAATTAGGTTAAATTTCCGATTGAATATATTAATTGCATAATTATCCATTACTATTTAATTTGGATATATGAACATTCTAAAGACAAGCTAATTGAACTTTTTTTTTTCCATTTCTATCTTTATTATATTATCTTTAATAAACAACATAATATAACATTGGCATCCTTCTTTCTTTCATAAATGCAAAATTTATATATATTTTAATTTTTACAATCTTCCATTTCACTCTTCATCACTTGTATTTTTCCAGGTTTGTTTCTTTAGACAGTTTGTTAGGTCAGTCCCTAAAGTTGATTACTTGACCCTCCGACATGGATTTATCATGGTAAGTAATTAATTCGTTTTATATGATGATATATAATATTCTTTGCTCTTTCTTTTTTAGAAGCCTAACTTTTCCATTTAAAATTTTTTTTCTATAATTAAGTAATTATATATATGCAATCTTCAAATTTATTTTGGCAGGCACACTTGGCACCCCAAAGCCAAACCAAATTCGATTTTCAAAAATACATAAATAGATCATTGGAAGAAGATTTCAATGCTGTTGTGGGCATAAGGTAATTAACTTCAGCACTCTTTTTTTTTTCTCTCTCTTTTTTAATTCCTCTAAACCCTTATTTTTATACGTACTCCAATTTTCTCGCTCTTTTTCTTATCAATTTTACAATATTATAGATTGACTGACATTTTTTTTAATCAATTTTTCAGTCCTCCAATATGGTTTTTAGCTGTACTCTTCCTACTTTTTAACACTCATGGTGAGCAAATTATTTATATTCTTCATTTGGTTTTTCTTTTATATAAATATTTAATATTTAAAGCCGAATTATTTGATTAAAATAATATTAATTTCTTTTTTTTTTCATGGACAGGATGGTATTCCTATCTGTGGCTGCCATTTATCCCTTTGATTGTAAGCCTAATTAATCTCTTCAAGCTTATATTGTACTAAAGAGATTACAATCTAAAAATAAAAAATATTACAAAATTTTAAATTTCTTGAATATTATTTTTTAAAAATGATTGCATTAATTAATCAATTGACCTATGGTTTAAATTTTATTTTTGACATATTTAATTACTCATTAAATTAGCATTATGATCTCTTATCAATTATATTGGATGTGGATGAGTTAACAGCTCTGACTTGGGGATAAACCTGCAGATCATCCTGCTAGTGGGGACAAAGCTACAGGTTATCATCACCAAAATGGGGCTAAGAATTCAGGAGAGAGGAGAGGTAGTGAAAGGAGTGCCGGTCGTTCAGCCTGGTGATGACCTGTTCTGGTTCAACCGCCCAAGACTCATTCTCTATCTTATCAACTTCGTTCTTTTCCAGGTATCATTATATTATTACCATAGCTTTCTTCTTGAAGTAGATATTATAGAGTAAACTTGTCAGCTCCCAATATTATCTTCTGCTTACATTTCTGTTTTTCTTGATGTATTTCAGAATGCCTTCCAGCTTGCATTCTTTGCATGGACTTGGGTACATTTCTTGCCCTTTTTTCTTTGCTGAATGCTGACTTCAATTATTGTGTTTGTTGGGGTTTGATTTTTGATCAACAAGCATGATTTTCTAATAAACACGTCTTGTTTTTGGTGTTGCATACAGTTTGAATTTGGATGGAAATCTTGCTTCCATGACGACGTGGAGGATGTAGTGATCAGAATTTCAATGGGGTAAAAACTCAGATTATCTCATCAGCCATCCATGGCTAAGGAAATTATTGGAATTAATGCACTATTGTAATTCTAACTTTGGACATATCTTTTTATAGGGTCCTCGTTCAAATTCTTTGCAGTTACGTCACTCTTCCCCTTTACGCCCTTGTTACACAGGTAATTAGAAAACGTACATTGACAATAAACTTTAAACACGTTCAACTTTTCCAAGAAATAGTATTTTAATGGGAATTGTTCAGTCATGGCATTTAATTGGTTTTTGGTATGATCAGATGGGTTCGAACATGAAACCAACGATATTCAACGAAAGAGTGGCCACGGCTCTAAGGAATTGGCACCACACTGCAAAGAAACACATCAAACACAACAAGGGCTCGGTGACCCCTTTCTCTAGCAGACCAAACACCCCATCACACCACACGTCCCCGGTTCACCTCTTGAGAAACTACCGGAGTGAAATGGACAGCCTCCATACTTCTCCCAGGAGAACGAATTTCGACATCGAGCAGTGGGACACGGATTCTCCATCCCCCTCCCATCCCAATTATGGTGACGGTTCATTGCCCCACCACCATAATGTAGTGGAACCAGTTCAAGTAGACTATGATAGGGACGTAAATGAACCGAGTTCAAGTTCAAATGAACAACGAGAGCCACCTGTCCAACATGAGATTAACATCGGGCCAAAAGAATTTTCATTTGACAGAAAAGCGAGCATATAAACATACATTTTGGATTTAAATTAGATGGCAACATATGTCCACCTTGAGCAGATGGCTGATGGGCATAAATTGGAATAGGCCAGGGGAGAAATGATGCCACTGATCATTTTGGATCACCGTGTGAAGCACAACACTTTTTTCTTCCAACACTTTTGGCAAAAAGAAATGGAGCTTCGACGACAAAGTTTTTATTATTTTTGTGTAACTTGTTTTTGTATAGATAGGTGCATACAGACTTCTTTTTCAGGACCAAGGCTGAAACTTCATATACACCAATAAATTTACAGCATGATATATTATTGTGGTCAGTCAATTTTTTCTAAAATGGTAGAATTAATTCATCAAAGAATTAGGACGCCATCATACATTTTGCAGCACGCACATTTAGACTACACATTAGACCTTAATAATAAGTCCAAACGTCAACAACAATCGAGGCCGCCATGATTCGAAAAGAGAAGAAAGTATCAGTGGAAGACCACAACCAAAGACGAAGCCCGCAAAAGATCAGCGGACAATTGGACAGCAGGTGGAGCAATGGTCAACCCCTTTGCCCAACCATTCAAACAAAGAGTAGATTACATCCCCCAATTTTTGTATATTGATAGTAACAATGAATTTGAAAAGAAAAGGAACGGGATGCTAAGGGTAGTTTTTAAAGCTATCTCAAGATTTGTGTATTATTACAACTTTGAACATTACCATAAACAATATTAATTATTTTTTAAAAAATTTTTTTCTGAAAATAATTTTTTAATCACCAACAACAGTGGAAAGTTTTTATTTTAATTTTTAAAAAAGTAAAAGTAATATTCTTCATTTTTGTTGCCTATTATATAAAAGAAAATTCAATAAAACATAATATAGGATTGCAAAAAAGCTAAACCATGAACTCTAGTCATGAAACTCGAAATCCCAGGAAAAAAAGGGGTGGCTATGATCCATCTTCTGTGGAGTTCTTCCAAATTTCTATTTTCCGGATACTTGTATTGGAGGCTACCCTCTAGACTTTCAGATATATTGCACGGTACTCGTTTGCGTGCAGTTGATGTGTAAAGTATAATATCTATCATACTTCCATGGCAAGAAAATGGCCCCATACCACATATAAAACGACAACCCTAATGAAGTTTTTCATCATTAACCAATAGTGGTATAATCACACCTTGATCAAAAATATCAATATAATATTTCAATCTCACGTTGAGATGTAAACATCAATTTGTATTTTATTATTATTATTTTTATATTATTATTTTTTTTTTATCTGATTTAGTTTGACAAAAATCTAAATGCATTAAATGCACAATTACTAAAAGTCCAAAATGCTAGCCACCACCACCACCGACAGTCGCTTGACATATTGTCTAACTTGGCAGCGTACATTTTGGGTTGAAAATATAAGATTTAAATCTTAGAAAATCTGAGATTTGAATATCAGAAAGCTCTATAAATAGAGCTAGTTACTTGCAAGAAAAATGAGAGAAATCAATTAAAAAATTAGAAGAGACTCTGTAAAAAAAAAGCAAAAAAAGAAAAATTTTACGAAAAGAAAAAGGCTTTTTGTCGAAAAAAAAAAAAAAAACTAACAATCACAGTCCGCAAGGTAAAGGAACCCAGCACCAGCATTAAAAAAAAGAAACACACAAACACAAAAAAAAAAAATTATGGCAAAAAATTTCAAGCCAAATCTGCGTCTTTTGTGACAATTTCAAGTGAAACGGAGGCTGGATTTATGTTTAGGGGGTTAGAGGAACATTTTGGTTTTTTTTGGGATTTTTTTGATCATCAGCAACGACGACCAATGACCGATGGTGGCGACGGCGGTGACGACGACTGGCCGGCCCCTTTGGGTTTTGTCTGAAAAGGCTAAACCCAAAACGACGTCGTTTCATTTAAATGCCCAAAACGACGTCGTTTTAGCCCTTGAGGATCCGTGCGTCAACCGGTGACCCAACCCGTGGTTCATGCACTTGACTCAACCTGGGGTTCATGCACCTGACCCGACGACCCATCCATCCCTCAGCGTCTGACTGGTATACTTGAACCTACCCAGACCGAACCGAACCCTCCGAATCATCCTAACCAGACCGAATTGCTGACATCAGATCGGACCACTGGACCGAACCACAAGTTGACTGAACCGTTGACCGATCTGATTAAGGTAAAAAAAAATTTTTGTATTTTTTTTAGATTTTTTATATATTATTTTTGTTATTTTAATTATTATTCTTAATAGTTATGCATGTTAAAATGTTTAAATTTACCAGAATAAAATTTTTGTTGTTTTATAATAATAATTAATAAAAATATATAATAAAAGTTTTTGATAATTATATTAATTTTAGAATAAATCTTATAAAATAATAAAAAATGTAAGAAAAAAAAATTTTTATCTGACGATGAGATTCAAAGATACTCCGAGTAGTGATGCTTACAAAATCTCTAGGTAAAAAGATTTTTTTTTTTTAAATACTGCCAGTGTATTGGAGTATTTATAAAAAAATTTGCAATACAATAAAATTTTCCTTTTGTTAATAAAAAATAAAATTAATTAATTTATTAAAAAATAGTAATATAAATAAGGAAAAAGAAAATTTTATCAAATGATGGGATTTTAAAAGTATTATGAGTAGTGATGCTTTACGAAATCTTTATGTGAGAAGGTTTTTTTAAATATTACCAGTGTATTTGAATATTTATAGAAAAACTTCAATATAATAAAAATTCTTTTTTTCTTCAAAAATTTAAATTAAAAATAAAAAATCAAATAAAACAATTAATAAAATTTCTAAAAAAGAGAATAAAATATGTGCATCAACATGGTAACATTCTACATTGCATGCACGACATAGTTTTTTTACGAAAAGTAAATTTGAGCCTCCAATGATGAGATTCTACGATATTCTAAGAAGCGATACCTAAGAAATCTTTAGGTAAGAAAAAGTTCTTCTAATATTATCAATGTACTGAAACATTTTAAGAATTATTTCAATAATTAAAAGTTTTAATTTATTTTTCTCGAATAAAAATGAAACAATAAATAATAATATATATAAAAAAGCTAATAAATGAACAATCAAGGAAGTTATTTTTCGAACACTGAAAATAAGATTATTTTTATCAAAATCAACGAATAACACGCAATTAATTAGTACCATTTTAAACGGACGCTATGGGGGTGCTAATCCTTCCCCCACACGTAATCGACTCCCAAACCTAGACTGTTACGCAGACCCTAAAATTATCTTTTAATCAATTTTAATTAATTTAAAGATTTCATTAAATGATATGTTTTAATAGGTAGCCAATCACACATAGCTAAAAAAGATTGGTGGCGACTCCATTATTTTTTATTTCGTTTCCAAATTCATCGGGCGAACATAAAATCGTTACGACAGCTTGGCAACTCTACTGGAGATGCCTTTTATTTTTTAGAGTCAGGCCGAAATTAACTACGTGTTATCCTGAAATTTTGATTTAAACAGTCCTAATTGGTTTCTTAGATTTTTATTTTTCACTTTAAAAAAAAATCAAAAACAAAAACAAATCTAAAATAAAAACAAAAAACTGACACTATTATGCCTCTTATGCTTTATTTTTCTGTATATATTACTCATAATAAATTAGGATATATTTGCACACACAATTACAAGATGCATCTTATGTATGAGCTCTATACCCGAGTTTTATCCCTTATAGGAGGAAGTAGAGTACCTATGCCCTCGTGAGGTGATAACTTTCGCAATGGCAAGCGAAATACTTTCACTCAAATTGAATCATTTTCGTTTGTAGCCTGTAATGGGTAAGGATTGGGGTGCTTCACTAGTCCAGCGTGGACAACAGTGATGAATAATTTGAGAACCTTTAGACATGTGTCAATCCAAATCCAGCATGTAATAAGCTTGGGAAACTAGCATTGGGTAGAGCCTTGTCCACCTTATTGTAGGAAATACCTGGAAAAAATTTTTTGTGTGTAATACAATACAAAACAAAATAAAAAAAATCTCAAAACTTAAAAAAAATATTTTTCTCAAACCACATCCTTACACTAACTCAATTTTGTTTCATTTTTTTTTCTTTTTTACATTAATCATATTATACAATTTTGCATCAAGATATTTGCTCTAGTACATATTTCTCCCAATAAGTTTTCATGGATCTCGTAGAACTACAGATTTACTTATCCTCAGTCAGTATTCCATGTGAGCCGTATAATGAAGTATATGTTTAGTCGAAAAAAGCCTAATAAAAGAATGAAGATTGCTTGCCTATCAGCTATGTGTCAAAGTTACCCGATAAGGTGCATTTGGATCTCACACAAAATAATTTAGAATATTGAGCTGCTATCTGGGATCAGTTAAGTAAAAAAAGAAAAAAAAAACTTTTGTAAAAAGTACGAACAAATTGCATCTCTCATTCTAGTAGTGATTGATGAACAGTTGATCATGGTAGCTATATAGTTTTGAGATTCATCCTATAAATGCTTCACTTTTAATTAGGAAGATTTGGTGGCAACTATTGAAGAGTATTCAATTTTGCTTGGAATAGAACTACAGTATCCAGATAAAGTATTTACTTGAATGTTGAAATCAGGTTATTATAAAAAGTTGGCCAAGCTTATGGGGGTTAAAGTGGAAACCATTGATTCATTTGCAAAGCCTAAAGGTGAACATCTCGACATCCGTTGGGACTTTTTTTGAAACTTCATTCAAGGGCATTTAAATGATGATCAAGGTATGGCTGTGTGTGCTCTAGCATTGTATGGCATGGTAATCTTTTTGAAGACTTTGGGTTACATTAAGATAACTATGGTAGACTTTTTTGAATAAATTAAAACCCAAGCAATTAATCTCGCTTTAGTAGTCCTAGCTGAAACCATCAGGTCATTGAATTTCTGTCGATGGAATGAAAAAAGTCGATTCATAAGATGTGTACTGTTATTATATGTGTAGGTCAAAAGTCATTTCAGGTGTAAGAATAGTATATTTTCAAAGCTGTATCTATGAAACAAAGCACCAATCGAAAAGTTCTGTAGAAGTCAATGGCTAACGTTGAAAACCAATGAAGAGTGGATTTTATTCCTACAAAGGCTAACCAGAGATGAAATTGAATGAATGGCACCTTGGATGCCTCGAGTGCCTTTGCTGTATCAAGAAGGAAATGAGCCATAGATGCCTCTATTAGGGTTATGAGGTGTTATAAGTTATGCTTTGTTAATGGTACTTAGGCAATTTGGTGCAAAACAGTTTGTTCCTACCACTTATGGCTTAGCCCAAGTAGAATTTATTTATGGGGAATCAAATCCACCAAGAACCTCGAAGCAGTTAATCCAAGCATAGAAGAAAACACGAAGAATGAGATTAGGGCCTCTTATCGACAAAGTCACCATTGATTATCAAATTTATAAAGTAAAACGGCTCAGAGATATAATACTCCCTCCCGATGATAGCTCATAACGATAAGCTAATCTTTTAAAAGAAATGCAATTATCAAAAGTTGAGCTTGTAAAGAAAGAATTAAAAGCTAAAAAAGAAAACATAAGAAAAAAATTTTAAAACTTCACGAGAAAGTGGGACAATTAAAATATGAAGCGAAAATATAATAGAGCAGATTGAAAAAGATCATAAAAGAATGAGACGTGGCCAACAATGATTTGAAAGATCTGCATCAAGAAAATAAAAGGTTGCAAGTTCAATTCA